TGGCAGACCGGGGTGGTGGTCCCCATCTTTAAGAAGGGTGACCTGAGGGTGTGTTCCAACTATAGGGGGATCACACTCCTCAGCCTCCCTGGAAAGGTCTACTCCAAGGTACTGGAGAGGAGGGTCCGATCGATAGTTGAATCTCAGATAGAGGAGGAGCAATGTGGTTTTCGTCCTGGCCGTGGAACTGTGGACCAGCTCTATACCCTTGTAAGGGTGATGGAGGGGGCATGGGAGTTTGCCCAACCAATCCACATGTGCTTTGTGGATTTGGAGAAGGCTTATGACCGTGTCCTCAGGGGCACCCTGTGGGGGACGCTCCAGGAGTATGGGGTGGGTGGCTTTCTGTTAAGGGCCATTCAGTCCCTTTACCAGAGGAGCGTGAGTTTGGTCCGCATAGCCGGTAGTAAGTCGGACCTGTTCCCAGTGAGGGTTGGACTCCGCCAGGGCTGCCCTTTGTCACCGGTTCTGTTCATCACTTTTATGGACAGAATTTCTAGACGCAGCCGTGGTGTGGAGTGTGTCGAGTTTGGTGGCAGGAGAATCTCGTCTCTGCTTTTTGCGGATGATGTGGTTCTCCTAGCTTCATCCAGCTCTGACCTTCAGCTCTTGCTGGGTAGGTTTGCGGCCGAATGTGAAGCGGCTGGGATGAGGATCAGCACCTCCAAATCTGAGACCATGGTTCTCGACCGGAAAAGGGTGGCTTGCCACCTCCGGGTCGGGGGAGAGGTCCTACCTCAAGTGGAGGAGTTTAAGTATCTCGGGGTCTTGTTCACGAGTGAGGGTAGGAGGGATCGGGAGATCGACAGGCGGATTGGTTCGGCGTCTGCAGTGATGCGGACGCTGAGCCGATCTGTCGTGGGGAAGAGGGAGCTGAGCCAGAAAGCCAGGCTCTCGATTTACCGGTCGATCTACGTCCCAATCCTCACCTATGGTCATGAGCTTTGGGTAATGACCGAAAGAACGAGATCGCGGATACAAGCGGCCGAAATGAGTTTCCTCCGTAGGGTGGCCGGGCTCAGCCTTAGAGATAGGGTGAGGAGCTCGGACATTTGGGAGGGACTCGGAGTAGAACCGCTGCTCCTCCGGATCGAAAGGAGCCAGTTGAGGTGGTTTGGGCATCTGGTCAGGATGCCTCCTGGACGCCTCCCCGGGGAGGTGTTTCGGGCATGTCCTGCCGGCAGAAGGCCCCCGGGTCGACCCAGGACACGTTGGAGAGGTTACATCTCCAATCTGGTCCGGGAACGCCTTGGGGTCCTGCCGGAGGAGCTGGTGGACAAGGCCGGGGAGAGGACGGCCTGGAGCTCCCTAATTGGGATGCTGCCCCCGCGACCCGGACCCGGATAAGCGGAGGAAGACGACGACGACGACGTCTCGAGAACTCAGATATGGACTGATCAGAAGTTGATATGTGTATAGTTTATTTGAAAACTATTTACGGAGCAGCCTCAGAATTGAGATTAAATATTTTTGAACACAATAGTAAAGGAACTATTACAGAACAAGTTTTTCAATCAAATCAGAACATTAATATTTAAGTGCATGAATTAATACATCTGAACTCATGCAGTAGGAACTAGGAAATATGAAATGCTAGAACCAGACACAGCTTTATGTGTTTTTTATTTTAATTTGATTAAACTGATTTTTTTCTTAACATTTTTGGCATTTTCCCCACACAAAGTTAAACAAAACAATGGTGTGTGTGTGAGAGAGAGAGAGCTCTGTCTTGTCAAATGCACCATGTATGTTACGAAAAAAGAAACTTTAAATATTCAGCCGAAAAAGAGGTGAGCTGAAGAAAACCTAGGGAGTACTGACGAAACGTGAGCAACCGTGAAGCAAGCACAGCGAGATCCGTTACTGTCTGTGTGTGTGTGGATGGGCCGGACTGACTGAGCTCCCGGCTGGCTAGAGAGTTTTGTGTGTAGGGAGGGGCGGGCGCTCGATGTGACTGGCCAATCACAGAGCGTGAAGACAGTCAGTTACCCAATGAGGATTTTCCTTCAGCACGATTACAGATATTTACGAGTTTTACTCGTCTCATGCTTGTATTTGTGAAAAATGCTTTATCCGTATCCATCCCTAGTGCAAACCATCAAGAAGATGCTGAAAATGTTTCAAAACAATGCTGGTGATCCATACCTGGCTCTTCTGAACCACCGTAACACACCATTAGAGGATGCTGGCCTGTCACCTGCTCAAATACCAAATACTACATTGTCTACAGCTTCTTTGGCACTTACCCCAAAAATGGCACCGGATGTGCACTAAAACTAGAGCGCAGGCAAGTGTAGCGACATGAATGGCCATATTTGTGACCCAAAGGTCCCACTTCCTCAGCTGGGTCAAGCTGTCCTGGCTGTACTTCTATCTACAGATTATCCATCACAGGAGACGCAAAGTCTGCTGTAAACCATCTTTCATCTGACTGCCTCACCATATCTTGACTTCCTTTGCCTCCACAGCAAGACAAGGATTTTATCACATTCCAGAAGGATCATTTATAATAAACTCTTTTACTGTTAAATCACCAAAGGTTCAATATAAATGTATTTAATTACTGAAATGAATTATTATTCTATGGTTAATTCAATTCAATTCAATTCAAAAATACTTTATTAATCCCAGAGGGAAATTGATTTAATAATTATTTATGATAATCAGTCATGTTTAATCATGACAAGTGTATTATTTGCATCCTCACACATAGTCTTCATGTTAAATGGTAACCTTGCACTCACATGACCTTTTGTCACATGACAACCCAGAACTTTCGGTCTCTGAGAGGGCGTGTGGACATGTTCGGTAAAGGAGGACGTATGGTTGCCGGGCGTTAATGTGAAGACGCCTGTAAAGCCGGGCGTACACTGTGCGGCTTTTTTGAGCCGATTTTCCACTCGTGCGAGAATCCATGAGATCGGGGCGAGTTTTGCGCCGAGCGGTCGTGTAGTGTACAGGGGGTTACGAGAGGCGATTAACACCACGTGACCAGCTACCGATCAGCAATCGTGAGGTCGCACGGACTTCTGGCGTGTTTAATATTTTGCTCGTCCCTCGTGAGGGTATCGCACTGTTGAAGCGGCGCTGCGAGCAGCTGCGACCCAAAAAGTATCAGAACCGCTCACGGCGCATGCGCAATCCTGCATCAACACCGCTCCCCGCTATTTCCCTAATAACACACGCTGTTCGTTTTTGTTTCTACACGTTTTTACTCACAACGATTGTCAAGAAAGCGTGTTTGTCGTGTTCATGTCAAATTAAACTGATCACAAAACACAGATTTACTTTTTTTATTTTGTTTTCCTCATCCAACCCCCATAAATCCCTGTGTGTCCTCCTGCAGCACTCCCGAAGGACAACAGGCAAAACGAGACAAAAAAGTCTGACGTGTTGAGTAAAAACTGCTATTTTTAGCATATTTTTAGGGCCGACGTGTTGATACCAGACGTACAGCGTGAGCGCCTGGCTCGTGAGAACGCTGCGAGTGAAAAAGTCGCACAGTGTCCGCCCTTCTTTAGGGGAGGTGGGGACAAGTCTGAAAAAAGGGGACAGAAATAAACAGCACAACAGGAAGTGATTAAATGAGTAAAACCAGGAGGGTACAAGTCATTTCCTGTCACAGTTTAATACAGCTAAATGTTGGGAATAACGTGCTGCCGCTGAACCTCGATTTGAGAAAATCATGAATTGAACTGAAATCTCAGCTTCTGCTAGAAAAATGAACAAAGCTGAGTCTTTTCCTGAACTCGTTCAGAATTAGAAACACGTTTAAATAAAAGATGGACGTTGAGTTGTTGTCCGGTGGTTATTGAAAGCAATAGCTTGAAAATGCCCAGAGATGCACTTGACATTTATTTTCTACATTTTTTAAAAACAGTGTTCAATATTTATCGATATTGACCAATATGATCATTTTTTATGATTTGCTGTCTTTTGTACTCGTCCAGGCCTACCTGAGCCTGGCTTTTGTACTCGTCCAGGCCTACCTGAGCCTGGCTTTTGGAAACTCACCCGTTCAGGCCGCCTTTGTCCACTGCTGGTTTCATTTCTCTCTCCCTTTCCTCACATTCTTTAATCACATCTTTGTTTTTTCTCTATTTTTATTACTTTTATTACATTTTTGCTCTTGCGAACTAAAACTATAAAAGATGGTCTCTGCTTTCTTTTGCAGGCGTTTTAGTCCATTAGCTGATGAGGTTGTGGCACCAGGCCGCCTCTTCGCGGTACTCTAATATCCTGAGATTTTCATTAGTCGTCAGTGATCATCAACATTAAAGAAGGAAACATTTGAAATACACCAATCTGTGTGTAATGGATGGATCTAATATGCAAGTTTGGGACCAGCACCCACACGTGTGGGTTCGGAAACGGGCCGACGGCCAGGACAAACCCAGGTGTGGCCCTTTTAGCACCAGATGAGGTCATACTGGCGCTGACATAATCCTGCACATTTTAATACATGCTAGTATTTTTAAATTTACTCAGAAGAGACAAACCTCTGAATCCTGAATGTGTTGCTAGACTACAGCCGTTTCAGCTAACGCAGGATAGCTAAGGTTATGGCTAATGCTGCAGCCGTTATCGTCCCGTCACGGCTGGTGTTTGCACTGATCACACCACTTTCATGTTGGCTGTCACGCGTTTAAAGACACAGCTGTTTAGTGTTTGAGGAAAACGTTAGAAGGCTCAAGAATTTATGTGGCGTTTCGGAGACATGAATTAGTTAAACGTCTCATACAGGTGAACAGGAAAAATGAGAATCTGGTGCACCTATGGCAGTCACCCAGCTCAGACTGAGAGACCATGTAAAGTCTCAGGAACCTTGACCCTTGAGATGTTGAATGTGGGCTTTTTCATCAGCTGTAAGCCGTAATCTGAAAAGTGCCTTTGAGCAGTGGTTAAAAGCCTGTCCCTCATCATTAGTGTTATTATTATAATCAAAGAAAGGCGGAAACACGTCTCATTTATTAGTTCATTTCTTTAGTTGAATTACTTACGTGAATGTTTCTCAGGTTCGTGTGTCCCGGAGACTCCTGAGGAGGAAACAGAAACTCCAGCTCAGAGGAAAAGCGTTCTACCTTCAGGAAGTGAGGAAGCAAACGTTTCCAGTTCGATGACTTCTGCTCCTCCAGCGCAGGTCAGCTGCTGAGACTTGGATCAGCAGCGTGGTCTACCTCACAGCTCTGCCTCCGAGAGTGACACGATGCTGAAGAAGCCCAGACTTGATCAACACGATGCTGAGAGCCTGCAGACGAGGCTCTCTTGTTTCCACTGAAAGGGATGAGTCCTCAGATTCTGGTTCTGCTAGAGCCCGTGTGTCAGAGCGTGAGTGACATCAGAGTCTGTCCCCATCTGTCCATCAGACTAAAACACAGATCAGACAGATGGTCCAGGACTTCCAGCAGCACGGACCACAGGTGCACCTTAAGCTCATCGTTCCTAATAACATTAGGAGGGAATGAGTGGGGGATCAGCGCTCCTGCAGATCTAACACACACTGTGCTCAAATGTGTTTCCACAAAGGTTCCTCAGGACTGTTTCTGTTTGAGACGGTCTCTGGTCGTTTTTAGAGAGAGGCCTTTCAAGCACTGGACTCAACGTTGCATCATCTAAATAAAGCACTTGACCATAAACATCAACTTAATATTGCAGCGGTGTAAGTCTGGATCTTTGGGCATGTTGTTGTCAGCGACCTGCAACAAAAACACAGTTTCATCCAGTGTGCTGTTCTCCATCGCCTTTAAGGCCATCAGTGGGATTTTTTCTGACACTTTTCATCTGCTGCAGCTTGGAGACGTGATTATCTGCTGTTCTGTGTTTAGACACGCACCAGACTGGCTGTTCTCCCAGCATCTGCCCCATTTAATTTACTAATTAAACATTTATTTTGTAAATTTGTAAATTAAATATTTATTTTCCAAAATAAATATTTAGATCCCAGCTAGGAGGTAAACATTTAGTTTGCAAAATCAGTATTTGGGAAATAAATATTTAAGTCTGACCCAAAAATATTAAATATAAATTTAAATATTTAGTTCCAAATTAAATATTTAATTAGTAAATTAAATATTTAGTTAGTGAATTAAATATTTATTTTACAAACTAAGTATTTAGATCAGACCTAAATATTTAGTTTGCAACATAAATATTTAACTATAAATTAAATATTTATCTTGCTAACTAAATATTTATTTGGAAACTTTAACATTTATAAATGTATGAATAACATGGTGAAAATATTACTTCGAAAAAGTGAACTCTCAATTTTTTCTCTTATGATATGCTAAATAACCAAAAATATTGCTGTTAGATTATGACTGTTTGACTTTACAAATGGCACCTCATACAGCAGGATGCTGAACTAGAGAGCAAACTTTGTTCCTCCTGTAAAAACTGTCATTTGTGTTCATCTCATCCTGTCTCAGTTTAATCTGCCAACTGATGCCTACCATGTGATTGGACTGGCCTACAAGTTGTTATTAACACCGTCCATCACACAGGTGTCCTGTGAACGAAGTGTTTCGATCATGAAGTTCATAAAAAACAGACTAAGGAGCGCTTTGACCCAGAAGAAACTTGAGGCCTTCATGCTCATGTGCACTGAGAAAGAAATTCTCATGTCTGTGGACAATGATGCAGTAATGAACAGTCTCAGAGACCAGTGCACTTCTCAAGCGTTTATTATTGTTGTAGGTTGGCCATGTTTTTGAAACTATTGTGCAAAGAAAAACAAGATATTGAAGAAGAACCTTTTTTAGAGGTATAATGGCATTATTAGAACGTTATCTTATACTGTGAATTTCACCAGCACGGTGACATTATTGCTAGGGACAAATCAATGGAGGTTTATTACAAACAAGTGTGGGCAGTTCGAGTGAAGCGCCTGACTTTACATTGATTCAATAACAAAGCTGTTCAAAGATGTGCTGAAGTGAAAACACTGCATTTTATAACAAAGCAGTGAAAAAGCTTACAGTACCTGGTATTCCCAGGCGGTCTCCCAGACAGGTACTGACCAGGCCCAACCCTGGATTGCTTCAGAGATCAGACGAGATCGGGTTTGTTCAGGGTGGTATGGCCGTAAGCGAAGGAAAATCCTTGAAAAATCCCTTGTATATTTGTCAAAGTATGATTGTGTCACCCACTGCAAAGACTAGACTCTTGCATATGGAGGTAAAAGGCTAAGTGAAACAGTTGTCTTCACGGTTGTAGCTCTTCTTTACACTCTGACAATCAGCTCCCACCCCATTTCTTGTCTCTAAAATGCCAGCAAGGTGACTGTTGGATGAATTATGGATACATTATTTTATTATTTTTTAAACGAAAGCTTCATCCGGTTTATTTTACTCCAGCAACAGAGAGGCGTTTGACCTTGCCTCTTTCCAGTCCTGGCTTATCAGTAAGAACGCCCTGTGCCCGCGCCTGTTGTCTCCCTGCTCGCTGAGAGTCCAAAGGAATGTCAAAGTGTGCGCGTCAATGTTTTAGTGTGTAAATGTGTGTGCGTTTCACCATTTTGTGTGTCCTTTATAAATGCTTTCTGAGGGTTCTGTCTGAGAGAGCGAATGGACTACCGACTCGTGTGTATATTTTATCTCTCTCCACTTTGCAAAGTCTAAATTGTTTATTGGTAAAGCTTGGTATGGGTTAATCGATTGGCTTATTAATATAACCCCTGCGTGTAGAACTTTCCCTAAGGTAACCCTGGATGGGAAAATAAAATTACCTAACATTTTGGTGCCGTGACACCCGTCGTGCACTTCGGCTGCTGGGGGGTGTTCTCCGGGAGCCGCTTCCTGCTTCGGTCCAGGGGGGCTGGAATTGCTTCCCGGCCGGCTGGATGGCTCCCGGGGCGTCCTCTCTGCTGCTGTCTTGCGCCCGTCGGACTTCGGGGTGACTCCGCCGCGCAGGGGGGGATTGGGATTGGATGAGTGCGTTGGATTGGATGAGTGTGTGAGTACCTCTTTTTTGCATTTATAAAGCTGGTTGACTTGACAGTGTGTTTTACGTTTGTATCTGCCTTCCGGACACAGGAGATGTTCCGTGTTTCAGCAGGGGGCTCTGGACTGTCCTGGTGAAAAGAGGTGAAAAAGAAGGGACGTAGCCACTGAGTCGCGCCTAGACCCGGCTGTTGGAACCCGACCTGTATAAAGCGTTGAAATAGGCTATACAGGAGGTCCAGCGCTACTGGGGAAGGCTGAAAGGTGATCGGAACTGCAGACAACTGGTGACTAAAAGATTAAATAAACCAGCGCTGCGTTAAAGTGGCCAACCGCAGTTTGGCATAGGCACGTACTCCCTTTGCAGCTGCCGATGGGATGGGTTGGACAGATTCTTTTTAACGCTGTCTGCATTGAAATGCATTGAGATTTATTACAAGGTGTGTTGACCCCGCGCATCGCCAATGCATTTTGAATTTATCGGATATGTACGTGAGATGTAGTCTAATGAGCTTTGAAAGAAAAGCGTCTGGACTTCTTTGAGTTGCTTGAAGACGTTTCACCGCTCATCCGAGAGGCTTCTTCAGTGCTAAGGTCAAATGGTGGAGAGTCCCAGATTTAAACCCAGTGGGAGTTTCCCCCCGAAGAGGGAACAAAAGACCCCCTGATGATCTTCTACATAAACACATGAGCCCAGGTGTGAGGGTGGGTGTGGGTCCTATTCAGCCAGAGTTTCGAGTGAGCTCATTGTGAAACCTGGCCCCACCCTATCATGTGAATTCCTGAGGTCAGGTGGCCCAGGATATGCGTGGGCGTTGAGGCATCTGGGAAGGGATCTCAAAACTGGATTATAGATGGCAGACAGTTGGTGTCGTAGACCACCGCCTCTGTTCAAAGATGGTTGCTCACAGTGGACATAAATGGCTTCCTTAGGAAACTATGTTGAATACCCCAACACCCCTGACTAAGGAGCAGATGATGCAGTTTATAGACTTTCTACTTAGTGCAGACAGTACATTCCCCGTAATGCAGAAATGACCCAGCCCCTTTACCCATTTCACTTTTCTGCTGGATTTGACCCCGAGCTACAGAATTATAAGAAAATTATTATAAAATTATAATTTTTATGTTCTCTGGTATATATATATAGCCTGTTGTAAATAGCCTCATGAACAGCTTTTGCTCAATAAGATTGAGCTGTAAAGGAAGTGCCTTGCTGCCATTTTAAAACTCTTTACCCCTTTAACTGAAACAGCCTGTGTACATTAAAAATAGGATATATTCATTCTAGCACAACTCTGGTTTTACCAGACTCGGTTTCCTGGGGGAACAGATTAGCTGTTGAGGTAGCTAAGTCTGCGTCCAAGGACACCTTTTGCTACTGGATTAAGATTAAAAATGCAACTTTGTCTCAAGATGGTCTCTATTTTACACGTGGTAAACCTGTTCTTTTTAAAGCGGCCGCTCTGGTGGCACATGATGTTTAATCAGAATATTCTAGGATTCTTTGTTTATTCAGGGATTGTAGAACACTTCGTCTTGATTCAGGAAAGAGTCAGGTTTATAAAAGTAAGAAGTTATTTTTCAAACAATTAAAACACGACAAGTTCACTAATATTACTGTGATGGATGGATCTGGGTGGATGAAATGTGATGTATGGTGACTATGTGTGAATGTGACGTTATCAGAACTTTTGTATCTAGAAGAGCTGAGTTCTGGGTGCAAAAGGGAAGAATTTGGTCTGCGTTAAGCTATGAAGTTGATTATTATCAAAAGGCATCAGACGCCATCTGTGTGTCTACCTCACCCGTTCTTGGAGACCCTCTTCATGGATCCGAAGGTCAGAGAGGTCGGATGACCTCTGGCACCGAGGTTGTAGAATACTGTAGCACCGACTCTCCAGTCCAGAGATGTCCCGGGTCGCAGCAGATGGATGGCACCGTTTGCGTCTAGGAGGACTCTTAATGAGTTGGAACAGTATCAGCTTTGTTCCGCAGGAACCGTTTGCTGCGTCAGCAGTAGGCAGCTTTTAGCAGGGTTTTAGCAGCTGGCAAAGATTGCTCAGGGTTAAAGAGGCGTCGCTCCGGACGGCCGTTCCGAAGCGCTCTCCAGAACTGCTGGATGATGAGAAGCTGGAATGCGACTCCGACTGCTCAATCACTGATTCTGCTTTAATATTCTCATATTATGAATTCTTGTCCAATCAGAACGTGCCATGTTATGGTATGTTACCAAGACAACCTCAGAAAACACGCCTTCTTGAGATACGGGTGCTCTGATCTGGGGTAAAGAAATATCTATGTGTCATGAGTTTAACTTAACTTGAATTAGTCCTCGTGTCTGGTGCAGGTGACGATTGCCTCGTCATATCAAACATTACTGATTACCATGTATATAAATCAATGTAATACTTCATTTCACAGATTAATCAAAAAATTTCATTTAGTGTTCATTTAATATTTGTTCATCAACCATATTATTTAATGATTATGACTTATAAGTTTTAAATGTTCACATTATATTTAAGAGTTCATTCTTTGATTAAGCAACTCATGCGAGCTGAGAGTGTTCACTTTATTCAGAGGCATGAGGACTCCTGTAGCTTGAGGCCTCGAGGAAGGAACACGATGTTGACAATACGTTATCATGTGTTCAGAGCTGCCGAGAGGCTCTGAACTCCAGCTGATGGAATGCAGGATCTTTCTGGCTTCAGGAAGATGAGTGTAAAATCCACTTTAGGACACAGAATTAAGTCTGCAGATGACCAGTGGCATCTAGGTCAATAAGTAGGTGGAAATTGACCATTTCTGGACATTACACAAGCCCTTATTTACACTTACACACCAATATACAAATATAGAGCTCTGGACTGTCGGAGAGTAGACGCCATGTTGGCAGGCAACAAATGTAAACAAAATGAAAGGGATCGGCTTGGATTTTAGTTCGTCGGAGTTTACTTCACACTTTAAAACAGAAGAAATCATTTTATATAGTCAGAAATTAGATAGACTAAACATCTCCGACCCTTACCGTTAGGGCTGGGCGATATGGCAAAAATAGAATATCACGATTTTTCCAATATTTTATCACGATTTCGATTTTATCACGATTTTTTATCCATGAATAGCATAACTTCAATTGCGTATTAAAGAAGAGAAACACTGAATAAATAAACATTTATTCATATTAGGGATAATCAGCACAGTGCTAACACACTTATATTTTAAACTCACACCAGAGATGATAAAAGCCCTGAGAGAAACAATTACAAAAATCAGTTTTTCTCGTTTTTCAAGTAACTTAACATAAATTAAAATCGTAAACATATTTAAAGTGCAAACATGTCAATTGCAAACGTATTGTGCAAACATTAACTTGTTCAAAATACTATGTAGCTCCCAGTTGCTCATGTAGTGGATAGTTAAGCTCAAATACGGCTCTGATGTGCGGCTGGACCAGAGATCGCTTGTGGTAGCAAAAAACTGCGCATTCTGAATATTTTCTGCAACTCTCACTTTGCATTCAGCGTACATGCGTGGAATGGCGGAGTTCAAAAAATACTTGCGGCTGGAAAACTCGTAGCGCGGATCCAATGTTTTTATCATGTTCTTAAATCCCGCTCCTACTGTTCGCACGGGACACAAATCTTTAACCAAGTGGTACGTCACTGCATCTGTCACGCTGTTCCATCGTCTGCTGTCTCTGTTGTAGGGAGTGAGTTTTGTGTGTTTCTGTTAGCGTTTGCTGCCTGGAAGAAGCACTAGCCGCTGCAGCCGCAGGCTTTTTAGCTTTAGCTGCCAGCTGGCTCTCGTTGTATTGTTTGGGATGCCTTCTTTTCAAGTGATTAAACAAGTTTGTGGTGTTGCCATCACTTGCCTTGATGCTCTCCTTGTAAACTTTGTAAATGACGTTTCGCTGCTCTTTGTCATCTGGTGAAAAACCAAACCAGCTCCATATAACAGACGAGGCGTTCCTCTTCGGAACGAAAACCTCGTTGTCGCTCTCAGCCGCGGCCAAAGCCATGTTTGTTCACACACAGGTGAAAACAAGCGGGGCACTAATATATTACTATGACTCACTCTGATTGGTTAAGGGTCAAACAAAGGCGTGTCATTCTCCTGGGGTAAGTTCCCTTTTCATTCAGAGGCAGAAATTCAACAGCAGAGCTGTGAATCGTGATAAAAAGGTCTCTCAAAAATGACAGACCGTCAGATGTGTAGATCGTAAAACGGTCTAAAATCGTCATATCGCCCAGCCCTACTTACCGTGCCCCTGGGATACTTTTTAAAAACGCCAGAAGCTGTCGGAGCGGACTTCTTACCGGACCTGGCCGGGGAACCCCTTGGGATTCCCCCAGAGGAGCTGGCCCAAGTGGCTGGAGAGAGGGAAGTCTGGGCCTCTCAACGCTACTGCCCCCGCAACCCAACTCCGGATAAGCGGATGAAAATGGATGGATGGATGGACAAATAACAGATTTACATGTAAGTAGTTTAAATAGAGTGCTGTGCTGTTTGAATGTATAAACTGAACACCAAGAGAAATCACTAGTCTGATTTGTTTCCGTGAATAAAATAAATATGTCAGGCAGGAGCGTCTCAGGATCTGTCTGAGATCTGTCTTGGTGAGACAGATAATAGCAATCCAAAGTGCTTCTTATGTGTGATCTGACAATTGATCAACCATTGCTTAAAAATGAAATACAGCTTAGCCGGTTAATTGCTGTGATCATAAAACACGGAAACGGCAGCACGCAGAACTCACGAGGCAACGTTTTACGTGATGTTTACTTGCTGCTATGAGTAATAAGACAGAAAAAGCCACGCCAAAATAAGTTTAGGAAGGCCACTAAGAATCGTAATAAAAGCATTTAAAATAAATACCATACACAGTTGAGGAAACGTTGGTTTAAGTACCTGATATGAAGCGGTCGCTGCATAAGCGAAAACCTTTACTCTCGGGATCCCACAGCTTCATTTTAGCCCGGTCACTAGCGTGTTTTATTACAATGATCCAACGTTTGCGGCGCTCCGGATCTTGGGGAATCCTGTAGATGGCTCATTCCTTATGTCGTCCGCGTCTGTTCTGCATCCTGGGGCACAACAGGAATCTACCATATTTCCTGTCTGATTGAGTTTTCTGACAATAACAAATAGTCCAGCTGCCGGCTTCTGCCTGCCAATATGGCGCCGTTTCGATTTGAACTGTTGCATGCCGGGAGAAGTGACGTCAACTCCCGGAGCTCTATACGCAGAAACCGCGCGTCTAAGCACAAAACTCATTTAAAAGCTGCCAGACCTCACGGTGATTCGTGGGTTGTTTCAGTCGGAAGTTGTGATGTGAAAAGATCTTAGTGACAGAGCTCATCCACAATATCAGGATCACTTCTGTCAAGTCTCGTTTTGGGCTTGAAAGTTTTAATAACCATAAACTATATTTACTGCTTATTCCCAAATTATTATTATTCTTCACAGAAAGTGTCTGGTATCAAGTTCATTCACGGGACCCCCCTTCGCTCCAGCAGCACCTTCCACTACTTCTAGATCCAAAACTAGACGGGATGTCCAGGACTTGGAATTTCTCTGTCAGCGCTTCTCCTCACGAACATCAACACACCACACTCCCCTCCGCCGGTCAGCGACGTTGGAGGCTGATTAATGCAACATGGCCAATTAGAATAATGGACGTGATCCCACAGTGGGGATTTGTGGGCATTTGAATGCGTTGTAATGTTACCAAGTACCGCTAGATGGCGCCACAGCCAATGTGTTCAAAGCCTTGAATCATGTATCACAGAAGAGAAGGCTTCATGAGGCTTCATTGGCACACCACTGTTAAAAGGTTTTACCAAGCTAGAAGGTGTTTTTAAAAATCACAAAGCTGATAATAAAAACCGACATACTACAACACCCCAAGTCTATAAACTACAACGTTAAAACCAAAAACCTAAACCACAAAGATCACCAAGGTCCTCAAACACACAAAAACGGACCGTGAGACCTGGAGAACAGCAGAAGCGCCAGACTGCTGACGGCACAGCCTTCTTATCCCAGGCGTGGATCACCAGATGTATTCAGTTCAGCTGTGCTCATCAGCAGACTGGGGAAGAGGTGGAGGGGCGGTGTCATCCTGGCTCCTGGAACTGAACAGGCCAGGCTGGCGGCCATAACAAAGCTAAAGATGTTAAGGTATGGCCCCGTAACCCCAACCAACCGTTCAGCCACACCAATCCTACGAAGCCAAATCGTCCCACTGTTCCCACCCACAGGACTGGCAGGCCCAGGTCTGTTTGGTAGAGCTCCGTGTGACTATCAGAGCAGGTGCAGACCTGTAAAGTCACGACATGCAAGCTTTACTCCACGGTTCCAGTAGTAATTATATGTCTTCCAGTTCTTGGGGGGGGGGGGGAATAAAGCTTTGTTTGTTTAGGTTTCAAAATCCCATTAACACAGCACCAGCTCTCAGGCTGCATGAGTTTCCAGCGCCATGCTCATAAGCAGTCGTATTCTGATTAAAAGACAATGAGATGTTTTTCTTTTGCTTTATTTAAAAAATAACCTGACAGAATAAACCTTCTGAGGAGAACGTGGAACCGGAGCTTGACACCTGCTGCACTTCAAACACCAGTGAAGGATAATTACTCTTTTCTAGTAAAGTTAGTTCAGCAAATCAACAACTTAGTAAAATCTGAACCTATTATAAAAATCCAGAAACAAATGCTCCCCCGTGACGTCCAGGAAACAGTTTCATCCTCTTCAGCAGGAGTTAACGGAGCAGGGCCTCAGTCAGCATCAGCAGCTTGCAGGGCAGAGGCCCAGACATGGTCTGAGGGGGGGTCTGGCAGGATCCAGCTCTGTGGAACCGTGGAACCATCCGGGTGATCTGCTGCCACAAGAAACGCGTCCCACTCTCTCCTGCAAAGACACCACAGTTACGCCGGGCCCACACCGGAGGCATCAGCAGCGTGGAACAGCCCCCCCCCCCCATCACCAGACCCGCGACATCACAACAACCCTTGGGACTTCAAAGGTCACATTTTTTATGCCATCCACCATTAAAGCAAGAAGTCTGATGTCATGTATACTGTTGTTCCTCTCCTCAGCCAGGATTAGACACGAAAACTCACCGCTGCACTTGGAATGAATACGCCATCGGGTCACACAGACAAGAAGACTTCTCTTTACACCGACGCCATGCGTGACTTCCTGTCTAGCCCTATGCTAACTGCAGAAATTGATGTACCCCAGAAGCAGAACCTGATCCATCTTTGCTGACGCAGCAAGGTGAGCTCCATGCCGTAGTTCTTTTTTAAACACAGAGCAGTTTTGTTTACCCGGTTTCCCGCTACGTTTGGTTTGCGGCTGCTGACGCTCCGTGTGTGTTTTTATTTCTGCAGTGAGACAAACTCACCTCACACGTCCAGAGTTTGTTCTTTAAGCTTCTATTAAATCCACCGTGTTGACGTATTTAACACGTTTCCTCTACGCTGCAGGAGTTAACGTTTACGTCACGGAGTAAAAGTTCGGCAGATGCGTTTGTTTATATCTGGGTGGGGGGGGGGGGGACTCGTGCTGCACACAGACAGCTGCTGTGATCAGCTCTGGAAAGCGTTGATCATAATTTGCAGATCACGTTTATTTGTCACAGAGATCGGCCGCGGATTCCTCTTCCATCGGCATTCTAGGAATCTGAACTAGGAATGGAAATGAGAAACGTTGAGCGATTCCGGGAAAAACGAACAGATGGAACCGGTTTCAATCTACGCTCGATGCCCAAGCCAATCAGCCGGCCGCTGCTGTAAAAAAAAAAAGTGAGGCGCGAACCGGAAAAGCTTCTGCCGATCGCAATTCGACAACGGATTATGAAAGAACGGATAACGCTCGAAACGCGCGGGTTCTTCCTGATGTAAGAGGTGAGTCTCCGTTGTTTTGGTGTCTACGGCGTCCTAGCGCGCAACGTTCTGTGACTCATAAAAACCAGTAAAAACGGTGAGAAGCGCTGGCAGCGAATCAGTTAACCAATCCTGCGTAAGTCGCAAGTCAAGGCTGCAAAAGACGCAGAACTTCTTACCTGTCCTCTCTGAAGAAAGCTCGTCTTACCTGGATCATAAAGGACTTTATAATTTTCTATGTGTTATATGATTAAAACAATATATAAAACGTTTTCCTTTGCCAGAGTTTACACAAATCACCCAGCAGGGGGCATACGTAACCCACAAATGTTTACATCTCTGTGAATCGAGCTGAAGCTGCGGGTTGATCCTGAAAACCAACCTGATGTGTATCAACGCCTGCAGCGAGCGCTCAGCCTGGCGGTAGTAATCTGTGAAGGGCTGCAGGACAAGGTCAGCTGGACGCCCATCTGCCAAACAAACAGACATGTCTCAGCACTAGGGCTGGGTATCTTTAGAGTGTTTCCCCACAAGAACAATAACCTGGGGTGGACACTAACTTCAAAACCAGCGGGGCCGGTAACTCTGAATATTTACCAGCCCCGCTGGTCAGCTGCCAAAACGAGTCTAAATAACAACCGAACCGTTTTAAATGTAATAAACCTTTATTTTGTACACATTCACAAACATAAACTCGATTTTGTCGTCGCATACTTCCGGCATACAACGCAGTACATCACCAACTCCGCTTGTACTCGAGCCTTTGGCTGTGTTCCAGATGAGCCAGTTCTGAGCAGATTAGACCAGCGGTGATCGGCGAGCGGTGCATGCCGGTTAGATTTGTGTCCGACTTGACGCCGACTTGCTCTGACGTCATGCCTACGTAGGCAACGATAACCTCGTGAGATCAAGGCGGCCGCAGATTTTGGAGCAAGGCGCTGCAGTTGCTCTCCACCGGCTGCAAAACCTAGAGGATGACGGGAAACGCCTGGCTCTCACCTGATCTAAGATCTGATTGGTTCATATTTTGATCCAACCATCCGGTGGTAGAACATGAAATGTTAGTTGGTCACATGTATTCTGTAAATCATGTTATGTTGATGATGACAACTATATGGGCCATAAAGAGAAATGTGATTTGTGTTCTTGTGTCACGTTTCCTATGAGCACACTGAAGCTACAGCTGATAACCTTTACTTATTATTACAGTCATGTCTCCATATACAATACATGATGTCCACAAGCACGTGAGGATGTGTTTCAGCTGCTAACAGGCACCAGAATTAAAATAATTAAACACGTATGAACGCTAACGCGATATCTTCATCCACCGTCACCCCCGAGCTACACATGTAGGGAAATCTGTTCGGCTTAAACGCCGACTTTCAGCCCCTCCCCCTGCTGCGTCCGTCTGCTCTCGCCTGTTTTCCAGGCGATGCGCTGCTCAACTCGAACACGGCCATTCTCTGCGCCTCCCGTCTTCTTTAAACCTCCAAGAATCATTCCACCTACGCACACGCTTCTCTGCTTCATACCGTTTCGAACTGTCTCGCTCCTCCTCACCAGTTAAAAAGCTTTTTGCTGCTAGAATCGTGCAGTACGTGCACGAGTCATACAAGTGCAGTACGTGCACGAGTCATACAAGTGCAGTACGTGCACGAGTCATACAAGTGCAGTACGTGGCTAGAGGCGCGCAGGTTCACGCGCGCAAAACGAAAACAGCGGCTTCCTACAGGGCGGGGCCATGATGTAGGTGAAAGCCGGTGTGTAAATGACAAATAAGGCTTGGGCGCCACCCGGGCGGTGAGTCGTCAAGTATTTACCGCCCGACGAGAAACTTTAGCGCCATTGGCGCTCGGGCGCTTCAACGGTCCACCCTGATAACATTTATTCAGATACCGGTATTTGGTGGCGGTACTTGAACAATCTTTTTGGTCTAATTTTAGGAGAAGTAAAAAACTATATTTAATGTAATTCGCTCTATTAAACTAAGCAGATGTGTAACAAGCACGCTTCCTTTAGGAGCAAGCATAAGAATTAACGTTACCTTTTAGTGCACAACCAAAGTGAACCGTATGAAGAGCACAAACATTTTGTTCCAGCCGTGGAGAACGTCTGTTACCTCCAAACAGAATAGAGTCCACTCTGCTCCTCCTCTCCAGCTGTCTCTCTCTCTCCTTCTTCACTCGTTTCTCCTGCTCTCTCCTCCTCTCTTCTTCCTGTTCTCCTTCCAGCATCACCATCAGAGCTTTCTCCTCCGCTGAATAAAGGCTTGTTCTCCTTTTCATGACACTCCTCAGCTGCTCCAGGCTGCTGCTGAAGACCTCGTCTGTCTGTTGCTCAGTCGCGATGCCTTAGACACACACATGTACTCACACACATGCTCATCCAGGCCTGGACAATGTACTGACATTTTCAAGATATTGATAACATCGATATTTTAAAATAATGATATCATTTCCAAAGATAACTAGTCAAGCTGCTAGCACAGCAGCTACAACTATGCTAGCAGCTAGCATGCACCGTCTCTAAGCTGTCATTACCTTCATTCTCACAAGTCTGCTCAATCAGAAAACCTCTGGGTCAGTGTTGAGCCTAAACCTGGGTTTTGATGATTTGGGAACGTTTGTTCGTGTTTCAGCTAGCCTTTCCGCCGTGGCTACCAACGTAGCTCCGTTTATTCTGCTTGGCGTGATGGGACAAATGAAGCGAGGATTCGAGGCTTGTACTGAGCAGGAAGGGGGCGTGTCCATGAAGCCCCACTTCGAGGCTTGCTTCATTTAGCAGAAAACCACGTGACTGATCAAAAACAAAGTCTCTGTGAGACCCAGTCACGTGCCACCCCCATACCTCAATATGTGACATTTATATTATGTTTATATTTCAGGTTGTTGTTTAGATTTTTCTCATTACCAAGTTAACATTTATACGTTAACTTTTTACACCTTAAACTGTGTGTGTGTGTGTGTGTGTGTGTGTGTGTGTGTGTTTTACATGGATTTCTTATAGTATTTCTAATGGATTGCTCAATGTATTATAAATGGTTATATGTCTGCCCTATTCTGGTGCTTTTAATTGGTGTACAGCGCTTCGTTTGTCCATTTTGGCCATGTGAAAGCGCTTTATAAATAAAGTTGATCTGATATGGCCCCTTCCTACCCAAATGAATAATAATCCAGCTTTTATCCAGAATGTTTCCTGGTCTCCGTTTCAGCCCACCCCATTTACACATCTGCATTAGGGTTGCAACTATTACAAATTATGGTGGTAAAATTTAGATTTAACAATTAGATATACATTAAACATTTAGATTATTTACATTCAGATTTAACTTTTACATTTATATTTAACATTCACGGTTAGCGTTTATATTTAGGTTTAAATTTAACTGTTACATTTATATTCAGATTTAACATTTATATTTAACCTTTACCTTTACATTTAACATTCACACTTAGCATATAGATTTACGTTTAAAATTCGTAGTTAGATTTAACTTTTACATTTATATTTAGATTTCACATTTAGATTGGACATTTACACTTATTTAGATTTAGATTTAACATTTAGATTTATATTTAACATTTACACTTATCATTTAGATTTAGGTTTAGATTTAGCATTTACGTGTAGCCTTTATATTTAGGTTTAACATTTATATTTAGATTTAACATTTACATTCAGCATTTATATTTAAGTTTAGTTTTGACATTAACATTTAGATTTAAATGTGGAATTTACATTTAGATTTAGATTTAACATTTACACTTATCATTTAGATTTAGGTTTAGATTGAGCATTTACGTGTAGCCTTTATATTTAGGTTTAACATTTAGGTATACATTTATACCTAAATGGGCTGCCACCTTACCCTGGTGGAGGGGTTTGTGTCCCAATGACCCTAGCAGCTAAGTTGTCTGAGGCTTTATGCCTCACCCATGGCAAACAGGTCCTAGGTGAGGGATCAGACAAAGGCAACCCAAAGAATAATATAAATAATAATATAAATGGATTATTAAAATGGATAAAAGTAGATTACAAGTTAAATTGGAAACACATACTAGGCATCTAGTAACAAAAGTCTCAAAAAGTTAGGCAATAGTTAATAGGGCAAAGCACGTCTTAAATGCAGTTGCTCTACGTACATTGTGTTGTTTGCTGATACTTCCTTACTTCCTATTGTGTTGTATGGGGTAACGATTTAAAAACCCTGTTACACTGTTTGCTACGGAAAAAGGCTGTACGAATTACACACACACACACACACACACACACACACACACACACACACACACACACACACACACACACACACACACACACACACACACACACACACACACACACACAAATCCTCAGAGTTTTAGATCAAATCTAGGGCTGCACAATATATCAAAATTATCGTCATCGCGATAACAGGACGTGCGATAGGTCCATCGCAAAGCACGTCAAAAACAGTGATAAATGTTTGGTCCGTGTCACACATCAACTTTTTGTAAACCAGCTCTGTTTTTGACACTGAAGTATTATTTGACCAATCAAATGTAGCCCTTCTGATATGCGGCCAATCAGATGGGTCCGTTCACGTAATACGCCCTCCCCCTATGTAGACCCTTAGGATGGAAAGCAACACCCGAACATTAGCGGCGCCGTTCCCTTGTTCGTCATGCTGGCTCAGAGCACCGAACGCACTTTGTGCTGATGTTTCTGGAATCAGCGCTGCTTTCAAACGTGAACGCGAGTTTACAGTAGCGGGTGCAGCCGCTAATACAGTAGCGGGTGCAGCTGCTAATACAGTAGCGGGTGCAGCCGCTAATACAGTAGCGGGTGCAGCCGCTAATACAGTAGCGGGTGCGGCCGCTAATACAGTAGCGGGTGCGGCCGCTAATACAGTAGCGGGTGCGGCCGCTAATACAGTAGCGGGTGCGGCCGCTAATACAGTAGCGGGTGCGGCCGCTAATACAGTGGCGGGTGCGGCCGCTAATACAGTGGCGGGTGCGGCCGCTAATACAGTAGCGGGTGCGGCCGCTAATACAGTAGCGGGTGCGGCCGCTAATACAGTAGCGGGTGCGGCCGCTAATACAGTAGCGGGTGCGGCCGCTAATACAGTAGCGGGTACGGCCGCTAATACAGTAGCGGGTACGGCCGCTAATACAGTAGCGGGTGCGGCCGCTAATACAGTAGCGGGTGCGGCCGCTAATACAGTAGCGGGTGCGGCCGCTAATACAGTAGCGGGTGCAGCCGCTAATACAGTAGCAGGAGCAGCTGCTAATACAGTAGCAGGAGCAGCTGCTAATACAGTAGCAGGAGCAGCTGCTAATACAGTAGCGGGTGCAGCCGCTAATACAGTAGCGGGTGCAGCCGCTAATACAGTAGCAGGAGCAGCTGCTAATACAGTAGCAGGAGCAGCTGCTAATACAGTAGCGGGTGCGGCCGCTAATACAGTAGCGGGTGCGGCCGCTAATACAGTAGCGGGTGCGGCCGCTAATACAGTAGCGGGTGCGGCCGCTAATACAGTAGCGGGTGCGGCCGCTAATACAGTAGCGGGTGCGGCCGCTAATACAGTAGCGGGTGCGGCCGCTAATACAGTGGCGGGTGCGGCCGCTAATACAGTAGCGGGTGCGGCCGCTAATACAGTAGCGGGTGCGGCCGCTAATACAGTAGCGGGTGCGGCCGCTAATACAGTAGCGGGTGCGGCCGCTAATACAGTAGCGGGTGCGGCCGCTAATACAGTAGCGGGTGCGGCCGCTAATACAGTAGCGGGTGCGGCCGCTAATACAGTAGCGGGTGCGGCCGCTAATACAGTAGCGGGTGCAGCCGCTAATACAGTAGCAGGAGCAGCTGCTAATACAGTAGCAGGAGCAGCTGCTAATACAGTAGCAGGAGCAGCTGCTAATACAGTAGCGGGTGCAGCCGCTAATACAGTAGCGGGTGCAGCTGCTAATACAGTAGCAGGAGCAGCTGCTAATACAGTAGCAGGAGCAGCTGCTAATACAGTAGCGGGTGCGGCTGCTAATACAGTAGCGGGTGCGGCTGCTAATACAGTAGCGGGTGCGGCCGCTAATACAGTAGCGGGTGCAGCCGCTAATACAGTAGCGGGTGCAGCTGCTAATACAGTAGCAGGAGCAGCTGCTAATACAGTAGCAGGAGCAGCTGCTAATACAGTAGCGGGTACGGCTGCTAATACAGTAGCAGGAGCAGCCGCTAATACAGTAGCGGGTGCTGCTGCTAATACAGTAGCAGGAGCAGCCGCTAATACAGTAGCGGGTGCAGCTGCTAATACAGTAGCAGGAGCAGCTGCTAATACAGTAGCGGGAGCAGCTGCTAATACAGTAGCGGGTGCAGCCGCTAATACAGTAGCGGGTGCAGCTGCTAATACAGTAGCAGGAGCAGCTGCTAATACAGTAGCGGGTGCAGCTGCTAATACAGTAGCAGGAGCAGCTGCTAATACAGTAGCGGGTGCGGCCGCTAATACAGTAGCAGGAGCAGCTGCTAATACAGTAGCAGGAGCAGCTGCTAATACAGTAGCAGGAGCAGCTGCTAATACAGTAGCGGGTGCAGCCGCTAATACAGTAGCGGGTGCAGCTGCTAATACAGTAGCAGGAGCAGCTGCTAATACAGTAGCAGGAGCAGCTGCTAATACAGTAGCGGGTGCGGCTGCTAATACAGTAGCGGGTGCGGCTGCTAATACAGTAGCGGGTGCGGCCGCTAATACAGTAGCGGGTGCGGCCGCTAATACAGTAGCGGGTGCGGCTGCTAATACAGTAGCAGGAGCAGCTGCTAATACAGTAGCAGGAGCAGCTGCTAATACAGTAGCGGGTGCGGCTGCTAATACAGTAGCAGGAGCAGCCGCTAATACAGTAGCAGGTGCAGCTGCTAATACAGTAGCAGGAGCAGCCGCTAATACAGTAGCGGGAGCAGCTGCTAATACAGTAGCGGGTGCAGCCGCTAATACAGTAGCGGGTGCAGCTGCTAATACAGTAGCAGGAGCAGCTGCTAATACAGTAGCAGGAGCAGCTGCTAATACAGTAGCAGGAGCAGCTGCTAATACAGTAGCAGGTGTAGCTGCTAATACAGTAGCGGGGGTCAGCTGCTAATACAGTAGCGGGTGCAGCTGCATATTTTGTTTGCTTTGAACCCAGAACAGACGTCACACGCCAGACGACATCAACACTGCATACTTTAGTATTTGTTCATTTATCGTGAGTTATATCGATATCACAATATTAAGCACTGTTATCGAATATCGCAGGTTTTCCTAATATCGTGCAGCCCTAATCAAAGCTATTAAAAATGCATGACCTTATTACATTTTGTACAGCACAGTTCATGAATAATTATTTATTACCCGTTAATATCCAAGAACTTAAGCATTCAGAGATCAGTCACATGATTTAAGAGGATGTAGGAACGTTAAAGTTCCAGTAGTCAGAACTTGCAGGAGAATTTTGTGGAGTTAAACTACACAAAGGACTGGAGCATGAATTAAAACGTCGTTGAAATATTTTTCAGTTCAAATCTTTTTAAAAAGCAGGTTTGGTCCCATTTTTTGTTTAAACACCTTAAGCTGAAGAACCTCCTATCTGTGTGACCACAGCAGACATGGCCTTCCTGTGTAAGCAAAGCCGACTTGGCTTGTTAGGAACTGACCTTTCCGAGAGGCTGCCTCCTTGCGGAGCCTGCGGAGCTTCTCCAGAGACCTGAGGACGTCCTGCATCCTTTTGACGTCCGCCTGCTTCTTCCTCACCTCACACAGGACCGAGTCTGCAGCCCGCTTCAGCTCCTGCTCCTGGAGCAGACCCAAAGGCTGATGTCTGTCTCACACGCACACACACACACACACGCGCGCACACACACACACGCACACGATGCCCCTACCTTCTTCTTCTCCTCTACTTGCTGGACTTGTCTCATCCTCCACGCATCTATGGCTGCCTCCTTCTCAGCGCGGTGCTCCTCTGAGAGCTTCTTCTCCAGCTGGAGCCGGGCCCTGGCCCTACGCCGCCGGGCCCGACTCTGGGCCACCGTAGCTACGAGTCCCTCCGAACCCTGGAGCTCACCGAGCCGCCGGAGCAGCTCCTCCTTCACGCGTGAGGCCAGCAGACCGGACTCCGGGTCGGCTCTCAGACGCAGCTCCTCCAGCCGGGACACCAACCGAGCGGCTCCGCACAAGGTGTCCCTGAGAACTGGGCCGCGGACGGACAGTCGCTGCTGGGTCTCCGGTTCTCCGGTAGTTTGGGCTCTGCTCTGCAGAAACCGAGCCAGCCACTGCTGGTCCTGCCTCTTCTGCCGGGCCTCCTGGTCCTCCGTCCCCGAGGGGGGGCAGGGCTGTCTCGGGCCACAGTGCGGTCCGTGCTGGGGAGGACGGAACACTGAGACGCCGCCGTAGGCGGGTGCCGGTCCCGGGAATCCTAAGGGGGGCGGGGAAGCCGTGGGACCGAATCCAAACGGAGGCCTAACGGGAACGCCAGGTCCTCCGAAAGCCGCCCCCCGGGGCAGGTGCTGAGGGAAGTCGCCCCTAACTCCGTAAGCCGCTGGAGGGGTCCAGGAGGACCCGGTGCGGTCCGGGTGAGAGGAGCCAGGCGGCCCGGCAGCGCTGTGCAGGTGCGACCTGTCCATGCTGCCGGAGAAAAACTCTTCTTGTTCTTCTTCTTCTTCTTCCTCTTCTTCTTCTTCTTCTTCTTCTTCCTCTTCTTCCTCTTCTTCTTCTTCTTCTTCCTCTTCTTCTGCTGCTTCTTTTTCTTCTTCTTCTGTTTAAATGGCGGCTGGCATCCAACTGGAGGCGCACGCGCGCCACCTGCTGTGTAGGAGTGAGTCAGCGAGATGAATCCTAAAAACGACTCTTAACTAAACTGCTCCTCCTGAGGATTTCCAACACTAGGTTATAAATTCTGTTATCCCCGTTTAACAAAGTCCCAAAACTCAGTCCTCCACATCCTCTAACTTTTAATTATTCTTTCAACATTTTTCTATGAACCACAAATTTAATCACATAAAACATGCATCTGTTCCACACTCACACAAACCCGTAGGACGTTCCCTGTTAAACGGAGAGTGCCATTCAAACCTGTGTCCCATCCTTAGCCTTGTTGTTGTTGTTTGTTCTCTAGTTTTAATTTCCATAATTTGCATCACACCCACCTTTCCCTGTATATTAAATAAATGCCTTCCGTTTCTCCCCTCACCCGCATTTCCTGCCATTCATTCATCGTGTTTCCTGATCATCGCCTTCACTTCTCTGACACTGTGGAATTTCTACCCGTGTGTTTAGTTTTGTTGCTTGTTTTGCATTAAAATCTGCCATTTCACTTCCCTCCACCCCTCCGTGTGCTGGAACCCACATTAACCTCATTTCTATTCGGTCTAAACAAACATTCAAATACGTCTAAAAGAATATCTGGTCTACTGTCAGCTGACAGTGATTTAATTGACATTAGAGCCGAAAGAGAATCCATACATGAATACACTGTTTTATTCCATCCTGGTCTATCCAGAGTCAGCTAAATGAGATCGCTAACAACTCCAACGTAAAAACGGATTAAGAAGTTCTGAATTTTATACCCATTTCTAAAACTGGAACACAAAAAGAGAAACCCGTGCTCTCATTTCCTGAGTCTTTTGAGCCGTCTGTAAATACTGGAATAAATGGTTTATGCTTAAAGCACATATTTAAACAGTTTGTTTTGTAACACGATCTAAGTTACAAAACTCCCACACAGCTCAGTGGCCTAGTGGTAGAGCGTCTGCCCTGAGACTGGGAGATCAGGGTTCGATTCCTGGTCAGGTCAGACCAAAGACCCAATGCCTCCCTGCTTGACACTCAGCATTAAGGGGTTGGATTGGGGGGTTAAACCACCAAATGGTTCCTGAGCACGGCTGTGTCTGCAGCTCACCGCTCCCCCAGGGGATGGGTCAAATGCGGAGAACAAATTTCGCACACACATCAGTGAGTGTGACAACTAATGGGACTTTAACTTTAACAACAACGTGATGTTATTATTATTTTCAGGCTAAATCTGCTGTCAGACTGATGTAGTCCTCCACTAGCCGGCACCGGTCCAGGCTAGAGCCTTGCAGCTGTCTTTCCATACCTTCTAGTTTTAACACACACACACGCACGCACGCACGCACGCACGCACACACACACACACACTCACACACACTCACACACACACACACACACACACACGTAACAGAGAAAGGGCAGCTGGCTGAGTGCAGATGTAGTAGGTACAAAGAAGACGAGAACGCCATCAGAGGAGCCAATGGCACCAGGGGCACCAAGATTGGCAGCAATAGCCTTGGCAAGAGTAAACATGGGAAGCACCCCGGCCGCCACAGCCCCCCGGTGCCCCCGGGGCAGATAACAAGTTAAGAAACAAATTAAACATAAACAGCTGATAAATAAAAATCTAAATAAAACACAGTGATAAAAGATAACCAAGTAGAAAACATATAATTAAATTTATAAAATATTGTACTACAATGCATTAAGACTGGTTAAAATAATAATTATTACAAGTTAAAATAAATATGGAAGAAAATATGTGTTATTTAATTAAAAGAGCAAGTAATAAAACACTGATAAAATATATAAAAGATGGTAAAAACAGGCTAAAATAGATCAAAATCACTTAAAAGCTATACTAAAAAGGTGGGTCTTGAGCCTGGCCTTAAAAACAAGAACACTCTCTACGGCCCTGAGGTCCGATGGGAGACTGTTCCAGAGGCGAGGGCCATAAAACTGGAAGGATGCCTTGCCTTGGGAGTGTGTTCTGACCTTTGGAATGACTAGGAGATGGCTGCCAGAGGAGCGCAGGGACTGCATAGGCTCGTATTTATGAAGCAGTTCTGAGAGATAAGAAGGCCCAAGACCATTAAGACATTTAAAAACCATTAAAAGAGCCTTAAAATCGATCCTGAAATGTACAGGAAGCCAATGCAGCTTGTGTAACACCGGTGTAATGTGCTCCTGCCTCCTGGTCTTAGTCAGGACACGAGCTGCTGAATTTTGTAGGAGTTGTAAACCTGAGGTACTCTTTTTGGGAAGACCATAAAGCAGGGCATTACAGTAATTAATTCTATTGGTGATAAAAGCGTGCATCAGCGTCTCTGTATCGGCCAGAGAGAGAAAGGGGCGGACTCTGGTGAAGTTTTTCAGGTGATAAAAAACAATTTTAGTAATATTCTTAATGTGGGGGATAAAAGTTAGCTCAGAGTCAAAAATAACACCCAGGTTCTACACTTGAGAAGACGAATTAAGAGTTAGTGACTGTAGCTTTGGTAAAAGTTTCTCTCTCTGGGTCTCAGGACCGATGACTAAATGACACCACCAAGTGGAAGCATATACAGATTAAAAAGCACCGTGCCTAAAATCGAACCCTGGGGCACACCACAAGGAATCTCTCGGGTCTTGGAACAGAAGGTATCTAGACTTACCATAAAAGTCCTGTCTGTGAGATATGAAGTAAACCATTTATGGACAGCACCAGAGAGGCCGATGTGTTTTAACCGGTTTAAAGGAATGTTGGTGTCCACTGTGTCAAAGGCAGCGCTTAAATCCAGTAGAACCAGAACCGTCACTTTCTGTGCATCATAATTTATTCTTATGTCATTCAAAACTCTTAACAGGGCCGTCTCAGTGCTGCGGTTTACTCTAAAACCAGACTGAAATTTCTCAAGGACATTAAGTGCATTAATAAAATCATGAAGCTGTATTAAAACAAGCTTTTCTAACATTTTACTTAAGAATGGTAAGTTCTGAAGTTGTTAAAATCACTAAAATCTACGTCTCCTTCAACAGGGGCCTCACCGCTGCCCCTTTAAAGGCAGCAGGAAAGACCCTGTTTGAAGAGAACAGTTCATCATGGTTAAAATCTCATCTCTAAAATAAAATGGCTTAAAGAACGAAGTAGGAACTGGATCTAAAAGACACGCGGTGGGCCTCACTGAAGAGAAAACCTTATCTAGAGTTTCAGCCTCAACCCGGACAAAACTGTCTAGTATTCCCTCTGGTAAGGGTACACACTGAGATTTCGATAAAACCATGTCATTGTGAGAGGATGAAATGTTGCATCTGATTGTGTGTACCTTCCCTCTGAAGTGGTCTGCAAACTCCTCACAGAGAGAGTTCGATGGTGCTTCCTGAGATGCATCAGCGTTTTTGTTAAAAACTTAATAGATAGCGGAAAACAGGATTTTAGGACTATTCTTATTTTCTGAGATGATTTTGGAGAAGTATGCATACCTTGAGTTCCTTACTGCGTTGTTGTATGACTTTAGAGTTTCTCTGTATGTCTGATCGTTTTTTAGCAATTTGGTACTTCCTCCATTTTCTCTCTGCCATTCTGCAGTTCCTCTTTTGTGTCCTGAGAGCTTTGTTTCTCCATGGGAATGTAAGTCTAGGCTGTATCTTTTTAATTTTTTGTGGGACCAGACGGTCAAGGGTATTCGGTTGTAAGAGCTCTGTAAGTTTGATAAAAACTCTGAAAATTCTTCTATAAAAGACGTGCTATTTTTTGGAGGTCTGTAAACTGTGACACAAAATTTGAGGAATCCCAAAAACGGCTGCATTGTATTCAAAAGTGCTAAAATAATCAAATGAAACAGGTTTGGCGGTAAATGTTGCTGAGATTATAAAGGCAGTACCGCCTAACTTTTTGCTGCTCCTTGTAGAGTAAGTATAATTAAAATTTGGTGGGGAAACCTCTGTGAGAACAACAGGGGCATCTGCATTCAGCCAGGTCTCTGTTAAAAATAAACCGTCCAGGCTGTGATCTAAAATCAAATCATTAATAATAAAAGTTTTATTCAGCAGAGAGCGGACATTTAAAAGTGCCATATTAATGGTAACTGGAGAGTGTGTGTGTGAAAGTGGAACTACTAGTAAGCGTTTAAGATTACTGTGGTTGTGTTTGTTTGGTTTATGGTGATTAGGCCGCTCTCTGCTGATAATGACAGGAATTAGTGAGCTGGTGTGAGGTCCAAGTCAAATATTTGAGTAACTGTTAAAATCATAGCTGGGGTTATAGGAGCAGAGACCAGCTGGACATCAGGGTGTGGATGAGTGGGAGGACGGGGTGGAGAGGGCGGGGGCAGCAGGGCATGGCGTTGTGGATAGTGGTGGTCGTGGACATGCCAAACTCATTGCCAGGGCACGGGTACCCTGTCTATTTAGATGGAGCCCGTCTGCCCCAAACAGGTGCCTCCTGCCCCAGAAGATGTTAAAATTATCTATAAAACCAATGTTGTGCATCACGGTGGCAGAGGAGAGCCAAGTGTTCAAAGATAAAAGTCTACTAAAATGACCAGTTCCTCTGTCAAGGGGGGGAGTGGGTCCAGAGATATAAAAGGACACATGTGAGTTTTTTAAAAGGTTAAAAAGGTGGATAAAATCACGCTTCAGAAGCTCAGATTGCTGCTTGTTGATGTCGTTAGTTCCAGCGTGGATAAAAACCTTACTCACCTGGGAATTAATGTCTCTCCCAAGTTAGCAGATCTAACCAAACTAAACTACATCCCACTTTTAAAGAAAGTGGAAGATGATCTTGCAAGATGGAAATCCTTACCGATATCACTCATGGGGAGGATTGCTACAATTAAAATGATAGTCTTACCCAGAATAAATGACTTATTTTCTCAGCTGACTGGTTTAAATCTCTGTACTCCTCAATTACTAAATTCCTTTGGCAGGATAAAACTCCACGAATTAGCTTAAAAACGCTTCAGAAGACCAAAGACAGAGGAGGACTGG